CCCGGTGCGTGCCGAGACCCCGACTGGATCCATCCCGGGGAGCCCGAACCAACCGGTCCCGGAGACCCCGACTGGACCCATCCCAGGAAGCCTGAACCGACCTTTCCCGGTGCTCCCGGAGAGCCCCATCGGATCCATCCCGGGGACCCGAACCAACTGGTCCTGGAGAGCCTGACTGGATCCATCCCGGTGTTCCCGATCCCTCGTGGTGTTCCCGGAGAGCCTGACCCATCCCGGCGCTCCTGGAGGACCAAGCCCACCCGGTGCCGGTACCAGCGCCCACCCCAGCACCCTGCCGCACCATGCACCCTGTGGCGCTGCCGCTGGCTCTGTGCACCCTGGGTGTCATCGCAGGTGAGGGGACACCGGGCTGGGGCTGGCACCCAGCGAGGGTGGTGGGGACACAGTGACCCCCCCTCGGGGTACGTCCCCGGCACGGAGGGCCGAGGCCGGCGCGAGCGTGTCGGCACAAGCGCACGGGTATGAGCGATGTTACTGCGAGCGTGTCGCTGGCGTTGCAGCGAGCATGCTGGTGCAAGCACAAGCATGTCAACGTGACCTTATCACCACGAGTGTGTCACATGAACGTGTCACGGCGGGGATGGGACGTGTGTCCCCGTTGACGCACCGTTGTGAGTGCAAGTGTGCTGCCGCCGTGTCGGCGTTGGGTGCTGCCTGGCACAGGGGGCCGGTGGGGTGACCAGGATGGGGGTCCCGGATCCGTCCCAGCCCCCCTTTCCCCTTTGGCCACCGCCTCCATGCCGCATCCCGTGGGAGAGCCTGGGGAGCAAGGTCTTGTTTGTCCTTGCGAAATCTGTGGATTGCAGCAGGATTTTTTTTTTTTTATTCTCTTCCTGCCAGTGGTTATTCCGGGAAAGGGCAGGACTTTTCCTCCCTTCCCCGACCGGAGGGTGGGAAACCTTACAGCTGCTCCTGGGGAATCCCCTACCCGAGGGTGCTGGTGCTGACTCACCCCGGGGGGCTTCCTCTGCAGCCCAGTGGGCTCGGCATCGGATGCTTTGCCGGAAAAGTACCGGCTCGTGGCGTGGGAGGGGACTGGGGGGGTGTACCAGGCACCGGCTGGCGACAGCTGCCACCATTCCTGAGGGACGGATGCGGGTCTCGGTGTCCCCTGCCCCAGTCACCGGGTTAGTGGTTGAAGGCTTCCAGCTGGATGGTGGGGACGGATCCTGCCCACCGGCAAAGCCGGCCACTTCCCTCAGCTGAAGGAGAAGCTCAGCGGTGCTGCAGCTTCTCCCTGCCCACTGCAGCTGGCTGGCTTCCCTCCTGCCGTGCTGGGGATAGGGATGAGTCTGGAGGTCCCCTCGACCTTCCCCTCACTGTGCCGGGGATGGGGACGACCCGGGGGTCCCCTCGACTGCCGACCCCCCCCCAACCCTGTGGGTTCTCCCAGCAGGGCAGCTGGGAGCTTCCTTCGAGTTATTGGTTGAGCCGGCGGTGCTGGTGGTGGAATACGGTGGATCGGTCCGGTTGAAGTTGAAGACAACGTGCCAGGATCCCAAAGCAACCGGCAACGTAGAGACGTCAATTCTGAAGCGGTTGGTGACAACAGGGCCAGGGGAGACGGTGGTGGAGCTGCTCAACGTCACCGTGTGGAAATCCAGCATCCTCTGCTTCTATATGTGCAACCAGAAGAGGGTGACGGTGCCCGTCAACCTCACCGCCTACCGTAAGGCACCATGGGGAGAGGGGGTCCCTGCCCATGCTGGTACACCGGGATCATCCCCATCATGCTGCATTTTTCCCCCAGGTGAACCAAAGCCAGCGGCGCTGGAGTCAATACCGCAGCTGGAGGGGGGTAAGAGACAAGAGCTGGCATGCAACATATACGACGTCGCACCGATCCAGAACCTGACGGTGATCCTGTGGCGGGGCAGCGAGGTGCTGCACACCGAAACCTTCAAGCAGCACAGCCAAGATGACCCGGTGACGGTGCGGGTGACCCACGTGCTGACGGCACAGCGCCAAGACAACGGGCAGAACATCACCTGCCAGGCACTGCTCAACCTGGCACCCTACGGCCCGCAATTCAACACCACCTCAGAGCCGCAGACATTGAACGTATACGGTAAGTCGGCACCGGCATCTTACCGGCGTTTGCTCCGCCATGATTGTGGCAACTGGCTCATCCCGGCGTGTTTTTCTCTGGTGGCAGAATTCCCTAAGGATCTCAAGCTGGAGCCTGACATCTACCTGGAGACCGGCGAGACGGTGAACACCAGCTGCGCCGTTGATCGCGTCTTCCCAGCGGCAGAGTTCAAGCTGGAGCTTACCAACCGTACCCTGACGCTCTCCACCAGCCAGGACGGGCTCCAGGCCACCGCCGAGGTGTCCCACAGCCAGCCGGGGAACTTTAAGCTGGTTTGCACCGTGACGGTGGGAGACATAGAGCAGCGGAAGGAGGCGACCGTCCACGTCTACCGTGAGTGCCAGCGGCACTGGCACCGGCAAAGGCCCGCCAGCAGCACGGCCCTGGCGCGTTGTGCCGGGAAGGGGGGAGCGGTTTCACGCCACGGCGTCACCGGACCACCCTGGCGTTGTCTCCATCACCCGCAGGTTTCCCTTCGCCGCAGCTGAATGTCAGCACCACCAGCCCAGCAGCCGGCACGGCGGTGACAGTGGGCTGTGCTTTGCCGCGTGACCACTCTGCCGAACTCCGGCTGCGGATCTGGGCCGGCGAGCGTGAGTTGGCAGGGTGGGGACCGTCCCCGCTGCTCTTCAACCTGATGATGCGGGAGGAAGACGATGGGATGGAGCTGAGCTGTGATGCCAAGCTACCCGTCCGTGACAAAGCCCTGAAGACGAGCACACCCATCCGGCTCACCGTCACCGGTGAGAGTGGCGCCGCCGGGCACCATCCCAGAATGCTGAAGGGGAAATTTCCAGATGAGAATTAATTTCTTGTCCCTATCCTGGCTCTTCCCTCAGCTGGACCCCGGATGGACGATGGGAGCTGCCCCCCCAGCCAGAACTGGACGGAGGGGCGGGATGAGACCCTGCGCTGCTCCGCACAGGGCAAGCCCTCGCCCAGCGTGGAGTGCACCAAGGACGGCGAAACCTTCCCCACCGGGGTGCCGCAGCCGGTCACCCGTGCCCACGCCGGCATCTACCAGTGCTGGGCCACCAACCCGCTGGGTACAGCCGTCCGGAACGTCACCGTGTGGGTGGACTGTGAGTGGGGACGGGGGTCCTGGGGGTTTTGGGGGTCCCAGGGAGACAGCGTGGGCTCAGCATCGCTGACCACCCATCCTTGCTCTCCGGCAGACCATGACCCCGACGTGGTGCTCCTGGTGCTGCTGCCAGTGGTGGTGCTGGCCGCCCTGATCACCGGCGGGATGGGCTACCGCATTTACTACCGCAAGAAGAAAATCCGGGAGTACCGGCTGCAGGAGCGGCAGAGGCAGCTGGAGATGGAGCAGTGGCGGACAGCGGGCTGCTCGGAGGAGACGGCCGCGCTCAATGGTTCGGCACAG